AGGCCCGTAATCTGTCATGGGTCCCTGTACGGCCTCCCATTGCTGCTGTCTCCATCGCCACACTCTGCCATGTGCCACTTTCAGGTCTCCTCACACTGCTGGTGGGTTCCATTTTGTCATAGGGTGCTGGCAGATTACGGGCCTCCCATTGCTGCTGCCAGGCCCCTAATCTGCCATGGGCCCCCGTACCGCCTCCTCATGCTGCTGCCAGGTCCAGAGTGTCTCATGGGTCCCTGTACAGCCTCCCATTGCTGCTGTCTCCATCGCCACACTCTGCCATGTGCCACTTTCAGGTCTCCTCACACTGCTGGTGGGTTCCATTTTGTCATAGGGTGCTGGCAGATTACGGGCCTCCCATTGCTGCTGCCAGGCCCGTAACCTGCCATGGGCCCCCGTACCGCCTCCTCATGCTGCTGCCAGGTCCAGAGTGTCTCATGGGTCCCTGTACGGCCTCCCATTGCTGCTGTCTCCATCGCCACACTCTGCCATGTGCCACTTTCAGGTCTCCTCACACTGCTGGTGGGTTCCATTTTGTCATAGGGTGCTGGCAGATTACGGGCCTCCCATTGCTGCTGCCAGGCCCGTAATCTGCCATGGGCCCCCGTACCGCCTCCTCATGCTGCTGCCAGGTCCAGAGTCTCTCATGGGTCCCTGTATGGCCTCCCATTGCTGCTGTCTCCATCGCCACACTCTGCCATGTGCCACTTTCAGGTCTCCTCACACTGCTGGTGGGTTCCATTTTGTCATAGGGTGCTGGCAGATTACGGGCCTCCCATTGCTGCTGCCAGGCCCGTAATCTGCCATGGGCCCCCGTACCGCCTCCTCATGCTGCTGCCAGGTCCAGAGTCTCTCATGGGTCCCTGTACGGCCTCCCATTGCTGCTGTCTCCATCGCCACACTCTGCCATGTGCCACTTTCAGGTCTCCTCACACTGCTGGTGGGTTCCATTTTGTCATAGGGTGCTGTATGGCCTCCCATTGCTGCTGCCTCCACCGCCACACTGTGGCTCCACACTCTGGTTTTGGCCCCGTGACTGCCCAAATGAGTGAAGTGTGCGGTGATTCTAAGATCGACGGCACTCATCTGCATGTCATACTGACTGACAGTATTATTTCTCTTCCCCAGCAGACTCCAAGGGCATTTAAATTAAAGGTACAGTGTTCTGCACTAATATAAAGGCTCTCTGAAGCCTAGAAACACCCTTTTTATAAGTTAAATTCGCAGCGAATATATTCGCATCGAATCAAATTTATTCCTCGAATTCGCCGAATCAGCCGAATCGAATTTTTGAATACTTCGCTCATCTCTAGTGGCTGTGTGTGGATTGCATTCTATTCAATTAAGAAAAAAAATACCAAAAAAATCATTTTTTGGATGACAAAAAGCAGTAGGAAGCCAGTTTCACATCAAGATTTGCAATGGTTTTCGGTGTACAGCAGGAGCAAGACTTGTGTAATACCCTTTTTCTGGTGGAGAACGGGCCTCTCCTTGTGTCCCCCCCGGCGGTGGAGAGGGTGTCTCCTCTCAGCGGAGGACAGCGGACCTCTCCTGCACCTGTCCCCTCAGCGGCGCTGCCAGTGTAATGGCGGTGCCAAAGAAGCCGGAAACCGGAAGTTGGAAACCGGAACTCGGCTTCACAATGAGGTTTGGAGCACAGGTGCAGCCGCTCCATCCATCATCTGTGCTCGCCGCTCGCCACACAGGAATTTCTCCTGCACCTGTCCCCTCACCGGCGCTGCCAGTGTAATGGCGGTGCCAAAGAAGCCGGAAACCGGAAGTTGGAAACCGGAACTCGGCTTCACAATGAGGTTTGGAGCACAGGTGCAGCCGCTCCATCCATCATCTGTGCTCGCCGCTCGCCACACAGGAATTTCTCCTCGCATTTGGCGAGCGGGCCAGTGGCTTTTTCAAGCCCTGGCCTAAGGGCTCTGTGTGCTCTCTCAAAATCAATGACAGTGTCCGCAGGCCACTCTAAAAGATTATTGAAGATGGATTGTAAGGCTGACATGAGCTGTTCAGCAGACACAGATTCAGGGACGCCTCTGACTCTGATGTTATGCCATCTCCCTCTGTTATCAAGATCTTCTAGGTGGCGATTCACATTGATCAGTTGCGTGGCATGTGTTTCAGAAACTTTCTCCAGCCTAGAGATCGCCCTGTCCCTGTAAGCCCCACCTTCTGCACAGTTATCAATTGCTCAGAGAGAGATAGGAGATCTTCCTTCAAATTGGTTATGGCAGCTGTAAACGATCTCTTCAGATCTGCAGCAATCTGTGTCATCTCAGAGTATGTGAGTGGTGGATCGGGGCAAGTGTCCTCTCTTACCATGTCCTCAGAAGCTGGCAGGGACTTCTCACTGTGAACCTCCTCATGTTTACACAGGCGCCATCTTGTTCCCAGCAGGGCCGCTCCTCTGTATGCCTCTATTCTGGAAAAGATCCTGGATTTGTCGTGCTGAAGACCCGGAGTGCGAGCAGTGTGGATGATTGTGTGAAGTGGACTTAACAATCCTGCCCGCGATTGTCCTGCTGTGTACCGCTTAACCATTTGCCGTCCGCCTACTGTTTTTAAACAGCAGGACGGTGGCACTTCATAAACGGCACCCGCTATTTCTATTTGTGCGCGCTCTATGGGAGCGCGCAGCACCACGATCCGGTGCCCGCTGTGTCCTCCGGACACAGTGAAACACCGATCGTCAGATGGGACCTCTGTACGAGGTCCCGATCATGTGATCACTGATTGGCCAATCAGTGCTCACATGCAAAGTAGTAAGCAAGATGTCACATGTGACATCATTGCTTACTACGTGTGAAATCTGTGAATGATCACAGAGGTCACATGGTACAAGGCTATTCACAACAGCCTCGTACCATGTGACAAGCTCTGACCAATCATAGCTCACACAGTATTTCTCAATGGCTGCAAGAATGCAGACAGAGAGAAAGAGAAATGATTGCTTTTACATACTATATGGGTGTAAAAGCAATCACTGTAAAAAAAAAAATCTTCATCACCCCCCACAAGTAGTACAGTGTCACCATGGTGACACTGTACTGCTAGGGTGACAGTATGTAAAAAAAAAATAAAAATAAACCATAAATAATATAAAAAAATAAAATAAAAATGTAAAAAAAAGTTTAAAAATTATAATTTTTGGTTATAAACTAATTTGGTGTATTTTTCTTTTTACTAAAAAGATAACGGAATAAATTTTGGCCAAGATTTATGATGAAAATATTATTTATTTGCAAAATGTTATAAGAAAAAACACTTTTTTCAAAATTTTTGGACATTTTCATTTACATAGCAAAAAAATAAAAATCCCAGCGGTGAATAAATACCACCAAAATAAAGCTTTATCTGTCTCAAAAAAATGGTAAAAAATTCATATGGGTACAGTGTTGCATGACCCCGCAATTGTCAAAGTGTGATAGCGATGAAAGCTGAAAATTGCCCTGGACAGGAAGGGGGTAAAAGTGTCCGGACAGGAAGTGGTTAAATTGCTCAAAAGCAGACTTCTCCCTGGAGCTCACTCAGTGTGCTGCCATGCGGCTCAAGCTCCAAGCCACGCCCCCATATATAATATATTACATCTATTAAATTAAAAATCCACTTACAAACAGTGAAAATCAATGAACATAGAGTTATGAACAGCGGAGCTTCCGCTCTTTGCATCACTTCCAGTTCCAGAATTCCTCAACATCCGGCTCCGCCTACACGCGTATTGTCACGGTCACGTGACTTCCTCAGTACTGTTCTCCACTGTTCATAACTCGCTGAGCATTGATTTTCACTGTTTGTAAGTGGATTTTTACTTTAATAAATGTAATATATTTTATATACTACACCATGGGAGGGCCCTTTTCTGTGTGAGTTTTACCGCAGACTGGAGATCGCACATTTAAAAGGGCCAGATACACAAACAGAAGGATCCATTTAAGTGGCAGAGGACCAATCATCGGTGGGGAGAGAAACCTTACAGGAGGGAGACACCGCTCCTAGGATCCTAATTAAGAGGAAATACAGTGTTTTGACCTGTAAGAGGGCAGGTCGCAGAGTGGAGGGGAGCACGGATTTGAATGGTGGAGGATAACGCACACATGCATGCTATTGAGGGAGCACATGGATATTACAAAGAATTTTATGGACTTTTTTCATAAAATGATATATTACACTTTATCATGAGCACTTTTATTCACATATTTAATAATTTGTGAATACTGGCACTTTTTGGGGGGAGTTGTTGATATTTGAATTGTATATGCTTGCACCTTAATATTTAAGCACTTTAATATTGACTGTTTGATCAGTATGAATAGCTTAAAGTTTAGTTTGGATATGTTGGTATAAGATCACGTTGTAAGGAGGCGCAGCAATGCACATACTGTAAAAATTGTTTGTTGGCGGGAACACTTTTTGTTGCTAGCAGCCACCCTCATTGAAATATAATAATATATAAGAAACACTTTATTAGGATTGTAGTTTTAGGTGGTGAGGGTTCAGCGCACATATTTTTTCTTGGGTATATCCTTAGATACCATGTTGCGCACATTGCTGCGAACATATGTGGAGAAATTTGCACTTCCCTTAAAAGGGACAGATAATATCAGTCTCCATGACTGGAAGAATTGAAATGCAATGAATGAACGGGGTCGGCCAGGGATAGTCAGGCAGGAAAGGGTGAGATGATGCTGGTCATGCTCCAACCAGAGAATGAGTCTCTATGTGACTTGCTGCAACTTCTAATGCACACTGTAAGAAGCTCACAGTGTGGAGTGAAATCAATGTAAGCAATTTCAATACTCCTGTACTGAAGGAGGAGCCTGTACAACTGTGCAAGAAGGAAGGAATGGTTGTAGTTCAGCTTTAAATTAGCTATAAACATACAGGCAGGTTTACCAAAAAAACATTTTTTTTTCTTCAGAAGGCCAGCATATAAATCAGGGGCGGCCTGACAACTCATGGGGCCCCCTGGGCAATAGGGGATCATGGGGCCCCTGTGTCCTCGCCCACACTCAAACCACACCCAAAAAAGCCTATAATAATAGGTACCAGGGGCATCTCATGGGGCCCCCTACTGACCCTGGGCCCTCGGGCAGTGCCCGAGTGCTCAAATGGTCAGTCCGCCCCTGGTATAAACAAACAATTCAGTATCCCAATGAAATAAAGATTGAATGAAAAATTCTGACAATTCCCCAGAAAACCATCACATATGCCTGCCAGTACCTGTGGACATCATCATTGCCTGATGCAGATCAAACCACACATCAATCACATTACATCTATAGGTACATTTTGTAGGGTGTTCCCAAATCCCAATTACAGATTTAGGGGTGATGCTTTTTAGGAAGAGTCACAATAGATAGTTGCTTTCAAAGTCTTAGCAATGATCCTCTTCCACCCACCTTCATCATGCTGCTGGACTTGTTCAGCTGGTTTTCTAAGATTTTAAAAATCCCTAAGCATGACCAGTTACAAGCCAGTGATATTCACGCCCTAAAAATAAAGGACACTTTTTAATAATGTTCTGAAGGGTTCTGAGTTCTGTGAACCCAGCAAACACTTACAGGCGTGTTGCTGAAAATCTGTATTAAGGAGATGAACCACATTCATATATTGATTGGTCAACAATGGTATTTAGAGGTATTACTTATGGAAACAAACATTCTTTTCTTAAGGGTAGAACAAAAATGAAACAATGAATAGATCATTTGAGAGCACACCCATACAGTCCCTTTGCAGTCTCCTCCACCCCTGCCAGTGTCTTTGCTGAACTCCTGACCTCCTGGAAGATGATGTCAGCAATATGCAGAGTCTGAGTCACCAAAGCAGCCTGCAGAGTGGAGGGGGAAGCTGAAGTCAGGGGAGGTGGTGAACACTGAGACAGCTGCCCTTCACTATATCTGACATGACTAATAATTTATGGAGATCTACTGGAAAACATCCCAACTACATGTAGGAAAAGCCTGATCAGCGTGGCTTGTATGCCATTTTGTGCATTCATTGTAACTATGCTATTACTAAGATGATTATTTTGTATATTGCTGCATTTAACTGTACCTTTTGAACTATGGAATGGATTCCCTAATGACCATATTCAGCCATTCCAAGTGCCAAATGAGAACTCTTGGCATGTATTCTTGCTGTACAACTGGTACCTAATGTATTGGAATTTT